CCACCCAGGCGCCCCTAACTATTTACATTTTTTAAGCTACCCATCCCAGAGCCTAGTCAGTGCCTCTGGGCATCTTTGGTAAATGCCTTGAAGAGCCCATGAAGTACTAGGTGCTAGAGATCAAAACAATTCAGAAGTTGTCCTTGCCCTCAGGGAGCTCACAAACAACAGAGAAAAGAGGAGATTAGCAATTATAGCTCACAATAGGGCTAACTATGCTGTAAATAATGCTGTGGGCAAAGGAACCTTCTGAGTTCTCTGGTAGGGAGGAGACTGGGTGTACAGCCTTTGTAGAGAAAAACATGCTCAGCGTCCCAAATCTGTTTTGCAGCAAACTCACCAAATTGCACATATCAGCTTTATAAATAGCCTGCACACACTCACCATTAGCCAGCCTACAAAGGATGAGCACATTTGCATTTCATTCCTTCCTTTACACAGTTAAACTACATTGAAGAAGCTAGATATTTTTCCACTTACATAGCTGTCTTAACAAGCTAAGTTCAGACCAAGGAATGAGGGAGGGAGGCCAACAGAAAATGTGTAGCACCCACAATCTTTAATCTGCAACTATGTGTAGGTATTGCAATCAGTCTATTATTAGTCATTAGGCAGCTGGTTTGGTTGGAAACCAAGTTTATGAACAGAACTGCTATAGCCATAAAAAATTATTCCTCTGTGATTAAGGAGTACAATGAAAAGTGTTAAATAAATGCAAAGGAGATAGAGTACTTTCTGAAAGCCAATCTGTCTCGACTGGAGTTTAAAGGGGAAGCCAAGTGACTGAGAGGAGGTGGGGAAGACTCAGAATTCACTAGGTGGTGGTGTTCCGACTTCTGTTCTCAGTCTCTGATGACGCTCACTCAACAAGCTCTTCCCAAAAGGGCACAGGCAAAATAGGAAAAGTACCTCCGCAGTTCATTCATCACCTTGAACGCCTTCCCCATGTGGGCAGAGTTGACAGTGATGATCCTCTGGTTCTTCTCATCATCCCCAGCCTGAACCGGGGGCTGAGAGCTCGGCTTGATGCTGTGAACAGGAAGAGAGTGGGAGGGGAAAGAGAGGATCACATGTTGGTAAACCCAGTCACCCAGCTGCTACAACTCCGTGCATTTGCCCACCCACCAGAAGCATCTTTGTCAGCTTGTTCTCTTTGTCACAGACCCAGCAGGAAAAGAAAATGCGTTGGGTCAGCCATTTCTGCAGGATCTTCCAGTGCAAACTACATTCCTCTGGTGGAAGCTGGGTCCTAGCTCAGCTACTACCATCACATGTGCGACTTTGTGGGATATCCTTATCCTCCATCCCCCATGCCCTAAAGGGGTGGAGGAGACGGAGGGAGACAAAGTGACCACTCACTTCGTAGGGAAATTTGTTCACTCAACAAAAATTTAATGGAGGCTACCGTGTACCAGGCACTGTATTTATTATTTTTTTTATT